GTCCTGGGCAACCAGCTCTAGGTGGCCCTGCTTGAGCAGGGGGCTGCACCAGATGACCTCCAGAGGTCCCTGCCAACCTCAACCAGTCTGTGATTCTGTGATTCTGTGAAAATCACCACTGTTTTGAGCTGGTAGCTGGCTAGGTTATTTTGGGTCAGTACTGGTTTGGGTTTAAACCTTTGACTGGAAAAATGTCGACAGAGAGAAAGAAAATGTCAGTCATTCCTTTGTTAAACTTCCCCTCTTTTCCTCCTTGCTCTACCAAAACCTCCAGCCTGCCTGGGGAATGTATATAAACTAGGACTTCAGAACAATAATTGAGTGTTATTACCTTACAATCGGAGTAATTTTTTGGGTCTGTGCTTGAATTCAGCTTGACTCTCTGCCTTAAGAGGGCATTTTGGATGCCAGGAGTGGCAGGAAGCAATGCAGCCCCTTAATCAGCCTGTAACTTACTTTATGCACTGATCGCTTCCCTCTTCCACCCGGGTAGGATGCTGAAAGAGGTCATAGAGGACGTGAAATGCTACCACTTACCTGGAAGGCTAGATCTCTAGGGGCTGTAAATCAGCTTGATATCCAGAGATTCAAGAAAGCTGGTCAATAGCCTTCACAATACGGCTCTTTTTGAGTGACTTATGATTTAGCAGATCCAATTTAAAATTATAATATGAAAAAAATCACATATGTGAAGGAAAGCCTCCTCTCCCTAAGCATGCATGCGCACGCGCGCACGCGCACACACACACACACTGCCCAACTCATATTTTTGAGTTATGGCTCTGCCTGCAAACACTGCACAGGCTGTTGTGACCCTGGGGCTGTGTGCTGGGATGGAGATCTGGATCTGCTCAAGCGCATCTGAATAATTTCTAGAGGAGTCAGCTGGACCTTCTCAAAATACAGTTTCTCCAGGGCGAAGGTTTTGAATGGGAGGCTAATCGCTGATGTGTGTTGTTTTGTAGCTGAAACTTTTCCCATTGCACTTGTGTGTTAGAAGCTGGAATTTGGCTTCCTGTCTGCCTAGTTTCTGCCTGAAGCAAAATTTTTATGACTGAGCTGTGAACCCCTTAGTGGAGACGGTTGTAAAAGAAAAGCTTACAGCCTTTTTAACTAATTGTGGCCTTACCAGTGATTACCATAATTTTCTGAATTTATTTTTTAAATTTTTGTCCCCTCTGATCTCACTCCACGTCCCTGAGTGAGTTGGAGCTGGAGTGTGAGCATAAGATACAGTGGTAAAAATACAAAAAAAAGATGCTGGGAAAAGATTTTACAACTTTCACAGCTTCCCACTCACCTCCCCAGGCTTTGGATCAGGCCCTCACGGACCAGTCAGAAAGGGAAGGGATGGCGAGGTCGCTGAGATGCTAATGCTCCTTTTCCCAGTGGAAAAGTAATCTTTTGTGTAAAGCAGAATAATTCTCAATCCCATTACAACCAGCAGCCCATTTTTAAAATTCATTAGTCATAAAAAAAGGGTATATTTATCTCTGGGAAAAAAAAAAATCTCTGAAAATAACCACCTCTGAGAATGCCAGAAAATCTCAGAATTTCCTGAGACTGCACCCAGATCTGCAATTTCATTACTATTTTTAGTGAGTTTTGTCTCCATTCCATGGACAACCATCTTTTTCATGTGTTGTGTGGCTGTTGCGATGTTCCTCAGAAGAATCTGGGGAGCACTTTATGCCTGTCACGATCATGGTATCTTACCTGGAGTCTTTTGTGGTCTTTCTGGTACCTGAGCAGTTTCTTCAGCAATAAGCAATAAGAAGCCATGGCAGGAGAGGGTCTGTTATGTATTAAAATGTTGATAACTTCTGAAAGACTGAACTCCATCATTTCTGTCATGTAGTTTAAAACAACAGGATTCAATTCACTGGGGCAAAGTCTGAAATATTAGGAAAAGATATTTAAATACAAATGATGCGTCCAGGTACAATGTCAGAATTTACAGTAAGCGGACAACACACTTCTTGTGATGTAGCTGGAGTAGGCAAATTATGATACACAGTTGGGCAAAAATCCTCTGTCTGGCTAAGCTAACTTCACTGCTGGGCTGAGGCTCTGTTACTGCATTATTAAATATCCTATTGTTGATATAGTTGATTACTCTGAAAGGACACCCACCAGGATTAAGCTTGAAAAATTAAAACATGGAAACCAGCATTTTCTCATTTTAATCGAGTGTGTATATTTTGGTTCTCAGTACAGTAGTCTCAAATGGATTAACAGAGAGATAGTGTGTGTGTGTGTGTAAGAAGACAGGAAGAACCCCAAAGGCAGGAAAATCTCAAAGGACAAAAAAAGAACTAAGGAAAGTATAGGAGGTTTTTTATTTTTATATAAATCAGACTGTGAAAAAAACCTGGTTATGTTACAATGATAATTATTTTACAGGCTTCTGTGGGTAGTAAAGTCTAGTAAAGGCATGTTAGAAATACAACAGCCTTGGATTCTGAGACTCCTAAGCCATTTTTTCAAACTCGTCAAACTTCAGTGTGAATGGGCACAGACACATCTGAGGAGAGGGAAGGAGGGCAAAGGTAGGAACGGTGGGCAATTCTCAGAGAAATGAACAAATTGCGCATAGATTTCTAATTAATAGCCTTGGCTGTGACGGGCAGTGAATCGCCTGGATTGTGGTAGGAAAACCTGCCATGTGTCCTGTAGACACCATTGCAGATGGTGCAGATTGCAAAAGCCAAGTTACTCTTTTTCGATTAGTGTAAACTATTGATTTTTACAAAATGATCTGGGCACAAAATATTAGAGCCATGACTAGCTACTTCCAGTTGTGAGGAAGATGTAAAAGGTCCATCACTGAAATTAGGTATTTAAAGACATGCAAAGTATACTTTGCAGCCTCCCGATATGAAAGATGAATAACATCTCAAAATTTGGCAATGTTTATGTGAGGTGTCATATTGCACATCTCTATTTCAAACTTTTATAATAATCTTAAATCGTAAAGTGGCTTGCTAAGAAAAAATGGAGACTAGTTAAAGCCAGTTACAAAGATGGATGAGAATAACAATTATTAGAATAACAAGTGCTCCAGTGTAATATAAAAATATTCCCTCAGGCGGGCATGTGAGACCTAGTTTTGCAGGAAAGGATTAGAAGCACACTGTCTAAGAATTAGTGGCACCAGTGAGGCATGTTGAGAACAGAAATATTGATACAATGGATATAAGCAGTTCTATAAGAATGTTTCCTCTTACATAAAGTTTATCCATGGTTAGAAAAGTTGATGTGGTGTTTTCTGAAATAAAATTCTGTCATTTTGGAACAGCCCTGAGCAGATAACAAAAATCTTCTAAAACAAACAAAACAAAAAAATTCCTAAAACCCCTAACACTTCCTCCACAAATCCTGAATCCTGAAATCCCAAGCTAGAAGAGAGATGTGACATTTGTTACCTGTTCTTATAGGTAGCAGGATTCAGTATTTTCCTGGTGAAGCCTTCGTTCAACCATTTGTCTTTTATTGCTTCTCTGACTCCAGGCCTCTTAGCAGGGTCAGGCTCAAGTAAGGACTGCATGAAGTGTACAGCTCCTGTGCAGTATTCAGATGAAACGGCTTGTTTACTAGTAATACCTGATTATTTGGGCAGTGCAAAATTTTCCTTTTTCAGAAATGTGGCACTTGCCCTGCTTCTCCACATTGTAAGAACCTCAGCTAAAATCCAGTCTCTAGGGCTACCTCTGGGCTGCTGAGTAAAACAGCTCCAGCTCTCTGAGACTGCTGTGGTCCCGTGTGGTGACCCTGTTCCCCCAAGGATGCCTGAGCAGCGTGGGCAGCATGGGCCAAACCATGCCGGGAGGCATGCTATGGGCCTATGGATGCTTCTGTAGGTACAACACTGGACCTCGCTTCCTAATTTGCTTGATTTACCCCAGTGAATGCAGCCTATGGCATCCATAGCAACCTCAGCATTGTGCTCACTCAGCATTTGATCAGGGCTCTGAGAAGGGGCGCTTCTGTGCCAGCTGACTACCTAGGAGTTACGTTCTTCACACAAAGAAGCTAATCGCATTGATAAAACTCTCTGTATTGAGGGAGGGAGATGGACCCATGTGCTCAGATGACGTGCTGTGCTTCGGCTTCCTGGAGTTGGGACAGAGAAAGCTCAAACATTCCCATATGTCTATCACTCAGCTCCAACACTGCGTAAAGTCCCTCTCTTTTTTGTATTCTTGGGAAAACTCTACTGAATTCTTCCATATTCCTTGGGGGTGTTTTGAAATGAGCAAAATAGCAAGTGAGCATTAAACTGGGAACGTACTGCTCCTTTCACTTGTAATCTCCTTCAGAAGAACTTAGATCTAAAGTATGCAAAGCTTGTTTACTACTGCTCTCACTAAATTCCCAATGGGCAAGGGAACAATGGAGTTATCCGCAATCTTCCACTAACTGTGTGGGCTTTGTAGAAAAGCAGAGATAACGCATTTATTAGTAGAAGCTATAACAATAGCATAAATAAGAAAAATTAGAAATATTATAATTGCAGCTATGGAGGAGTTGTAGAAAAACGGAGCTGCTATCTGGCAACCAATCTCCAAAGAAAGATAAATGAGAGACTAATGTACAAACATTCTGGACAGCTATGGTAGATATCCTCATACCATTTACTGGGGCAGAAAAAGAAATTGAATCATCACATTATCTTAATACTGTAACTCCGGACTAGATCCAGCTAGCTTAGTCTGGAACTGTCTGCTGCTTCCTAGTGCTTGGCTGCAGGCAGCAACTGAAGCTAATCTTGGTTCCTAGGCTCATTCTTGCCTAACTTCAGAGCAAAGCTCCTCAAAACGATGGGGAGATCTGAACTCATGCTGGTAGATAGCTGGGCAAAGCATGTCTCATTCTGCTCTGCTTTCTGACTTGGTCAGTGAAGCTGCACAATAACGGCTGTGAGAAGGGGCCCTAGCCTGTGATGGTCAACAGAGAAGATGCTTGTCCAGATGGAGAGAAAACAGGGACAGAGGTGTACAGGAATCGTTGTAAAGCTGCAGAATTTTGAGCTTTGAGGAAGTACATTTTGGACTGCTAACCCAGAGTGTATATACACCAACATGACTTCTGGGGTTTTGAGCCATGGGCTGTAATTCAGGCTAGAGCTTCTGAGAACTATCTTTCCCAGTCATCCTAAAAGACTCCATAGACTGTACCTCATTAAAGATTGTCAGTAAAATTCATTGAAAAATGTTGTATTTCAGTTCTTTCTCATAAAAAAGATGAACAGACTCTTCACAAAAATAGCCGTCCCATTTTTTAAATTATCTCAATGTTGTGGGTTCTGTCTGTAGCCAAAAGATAAGCTCTTCAGGAAAAATCATCTAAGGTTTGATAACTGATTTTTGGGAAAACCAGGAAAGAATGCCTGGCTATGACACACAGCATGGGACACACTAAACATGACAGTGTTCTCATTTACTGCACAGCTGCTCCACTTATGTAGAAGCAATGTACATTTTATTTCCTCTGTAAATAAGAACCAAGAATAGTGGACTTTTGACAAGACAACAATGTTATTTTCCTACTAGCCTGAGATAAAGATATCTTGCCTAAGGCACACAAAAGTTATTTCTAAATGCAAACAAAGCAACTGGAAAAGGTACCTCTTATTTTCCAGAAGATTGCATTATTGATAAATTCACTTTATTACATGGGTTAGACCTTTTATACATCAGTATTCTTTATAAAAATTTGAGTGCTTTACCAGGGGAGATATCTGATGGAATAGGGCTGATTTCTCCAATTAACATCTTTTGATGTAGTTGCTTGATATTAAAGGGTTCCACCGTGAAGGGTAATGTGCCGGTTAGCATAGCAAACATGCTTACACCTCTGTCAAAGAAAAAGACAAACATCAGAGCTCCATATAATGCTAATAAATATTTGTTTAAAAATCCCACAAAGCTATGAGTCAGGTTTCAGAGATTTACCTTCAGTATCAAGAACGGGGTTACAAATTACCTCTAAGCAGCAGTTTGTACTGAATACACAACTTATGCCTTTTTTCTTTGTGTAAATGCCATTTTATCTAGAAAAGAATGTTGTGGGAAGTGTGTATAAAATAGACTGTACAGTGAGTGACTGGAAAGCCTGCAGCGTTGAAAGTGGAAACCTGCTGTTTATTTTTAAAATAAGCTCATTGGAGTGTCAGTGTAGTGTACCCAGCCCATCAGAATAAAGCATTTTGGTTTGGAGGCTGAGTGACAACACAGAGCTGGGACTGATACGATAGATCTTGTTCCAAATAGTAATTCAGTTGTTCTTGCTTTGCTCAGATTGCTAAATTAGGTGTGACTTATGCCTAGAAGGCATTCGTTTGGTAACAGCTTGCTGTTGGCTAAAGACTTAAAACTTGAACTCTTGAGAAAGACTAACAGTCTGCTAACAGTGATCAGCAAACTTTGTGAAGGTTTGCCTTTCAGTTTGCAGAAGTACCAATGTTTGGAAAACTTGCTTAGCTGTCCTGAGTTTGCAAACAGGGAGGTTTCCTTGAACACTCTCCATGGTACTTCCTTGCTCCAGCTGAGTTGTGCCACCACAACAGCACTGCTCTTCGACATCCTTTGCCGTTTCTCTATTGAACTCAGTCAAGACAGTAATTTTAGGAATTCAGGCAATTCTAATTTAATTGATCTGGTTGGTACCTTAGTGCAGATGATGACAATGTCATCTGTGAAACAGATCTGTTCATGGTGTGCACAACAACAATCTTTTTTTAATGTTTTCAAACAGTTGAAAAACCATGAGAAGATGATGGTGCCATTGAAAAACCGTGAGAAGATGGTGGCACCTTTTTCTAAATGTTGCATTGGATTGCATTTGAACCAGTCACCCATGGATAAATGCTTTTTATTAGTCTCAACTAGGACTTATCTTGTCTCACTTTCACCATCTAAAACCTAAGTATCAGTAGTTATCAATGGAAAGAGACAGGCTTCTACAAGACAGATTCATCACAGCTATGTTATACAGCTATTTTAGGCTACAGTTAAGTGTCTCAGGAGATGAGCAGTCTCCCTGCACCGACAATAACAGGACACTAACTGCCTGGTATAACCCAGGTGCCTGGTTGTTAAATGGCTAAATTTAGGTGAGATCAATCTCTTCTCACTTTACCAAACGTTCTGATAAATCTAGTCCTTGAATGTAATGCTTTCCAAAACTTTCCTGATGAATCCTTCGAGTAAAAAAACCACAGAGTTACAAAGGAAACATGCTGCAATGAAACAACATTCAGTTGACTGAAGTAGCAAGGATTGTCGTTCTATAATACGTAATAGCACGTGGATTAAATGTAGCTGGAGTTGAAGTGAGAGAAGGGCCCCTGAATATTCTCTGATGAGTGGGAGTAACATGCAGTGCAAATGGATCTCTAATGTCATTACAACATTAAATACATTTTTCTTTTCAACACTGCAAACACTACCATGCACTTTAAATTGCTGGTGATGATATACACGACTGGTGCTTTAAACTGGCAATAGTTCTTTTCATCAGCCTACTGGATGTGGAAATCCCCAAGGTATGAGAATTTGGGGAATGGATGGAGCTGCCATCCTAAAAATCTCTTAAAATCTTATGCACAAAATGTAGCTAGTTAACAGTAATGCACTTAGTAATTAATTGTAGCTAGAATCTGATGGCATGTTAAACTTAAAAGTTTATTAGCTATAATAGACTGCTTCTCCTCTATCCCACTGAACTATCTGGATTTGTTTGAGTACAGCAGCTGTTTACTCAATTCAGCTGGTGCACGAAAGCTAATCACTTTCCCGTCCTCCAAAGAATCTTTAAAATCTTATGCACAAAAGTCATGACTAGGCAAAACAGGCACTGCTGTTCGCTGTTGCCTCATAGGAGCCTTAGCTGTGTTGTAGTTGAATCTGGTTGGTTTTCTTAATGTGCTTCTGACTGAATATGGCTTTCTGGTTCCTGTTGTAATGATTACTTGTCAGTCCTGCTGCATAAAGTCAGCATTTCTCCACCACGCTGGAATCTTTTGCCAGAGTCCAGTCGATCTGTAATCCTTTACTTATTTTGTGACAATAGAAGTAACTTATCTTTCTAATTAATATTTTAGTTCATCAGAATTCCCTTTTTCATGATGATAATGTGAACAATTCAGGTTAAATTGTAAATATGTTTTATGCCTAAAAGATAGAATATGTCTATATTAAATACCAAGGGCCTTACATAAGTTTTATATAGCCCTTGACCTGTTATGTGATGTTTATTAACAGAGGGAGCTCAGTAAATTGTTCTAAGGTTACTGCTTTGCCTTCATTCAGACATCTGAAATGTGAAATAAGTATAATCCTATTTAAGTGCTGACAGCATCCTCTAGACCTGATTCATCTGTGTTATGTCTACATAAATTCAGAGTAACACTCTTGAAATCCAGACTTATACTGAAGTAATTTGGTAGAATTTGTCCCTTCATCCTTAACTTTGTGTACCATTCACATCCTGTAAATTTAGAGGAAGCTGAGGTATAAGAATCATAGTTAGGTCAAAACCCGAATATATAGTATGTCTGCCAGAAGCAGGTCTTGAGAGGAATAATGTGCATTATATATTCATGTGTATATAAATCCTCTTTCTCTTTTGAGCATATAGGAATGGTAAGCTTCTACTTCAGACATCTGAATCAGATGCCTATATGTAGACACCAGCAACCTTGCAGATCAAAGCAAAACACTTTGTCCTCTGTAGATACACAGTTTGGTAAAGACTGCTGAGAACTCCTCAAGGGGACTCCGGATTCTCGCTACTGGATGAGCGGGTGGGACATCCCAGTTCAGAGCAGTTCCGTACATCCAGACCTCCTGTTCCTTCTGGCAGGTGACCAGAGTGAGGTGGTTTGGGTTTGGATCAAATGCAGCATTGTGTGTTGAACAGAAGCAGAACATTAAGATCCGTTAGATCAATACGGTTGTGGGGTGGGATGAGAGGTGGCACTTCTAAGCCAAAAAGTCCAAATACTCATACAAGCCTTCTAAACTGTTTGAAAGCCACGGGCTTTTATCATTGGCTTCAATAGCACCCTGATTTTTACCCTACCACTTGTTAGTTAAGATACTGCAGGGAATTATGGTTGCAATTGTAAATAGGTGGGAGGAGTCTGGACAAAGGTGTATTTGACCAGCCACTGAGTTTTTGAATCTTGATGCTCTAGATGAAGATTTGGTTTAGTCTATATTACTCATACTCATCTTCTATGCCCTGAATCATACCTGCAGGAAATGGGCTTAAAAACATGTTCTAGGTGGAACACTCAGACCTGGGCATATGGTCACTATCAAAACAGCTAAAGAGAAGCTGATACGTGGGCACATATAGATAAACATGAATGGCCTTTGGACAAATGATGGATATGGAGAGCCGCTTTCCTATCCAGATCCATGAAGATCAAAGGATACAAAAATGGACTTAATATACTATCATTTTCTCAGACCATCCAGAAAAACTGTCAAAAAAGTAAAAAACCCCAAACTTGACTGCTAGAATTGCAAACTGCAAATGCAGTTGAAAAGTCTGAGATGATTTGTGTGAAAAATTACTTTTCTGATGGCATCTTCTGCATTATTCTTTATTATAAGAAGACTTTATTATGAGAGACATACCCTATAGATGTAATGAACAAAGAAAATGGAGTCCATTCAGGTTTGTGCCACCTATGAAGTAAATAACTGCACTTTTTAATCATAATCTGATATAAGGGCCTAGCCAAGGTATGGATGAAGGTCTCCTGGCTCTGCTGAAGCCACATCTTTGGTCTGTGTGTCCCTGAGACTCAATTTTTCTGTTTAGATTTCTTCTTCTGGCAAAGTAGACAGAAATTCCCATTTGTCAGCCCAGAGTTTCCAGGGCTTCTGATTTTGACAGAAGTTACTCAGATATCAGCTGCACGTGTGTGCCAGAAGGACAGGAGGGTGGGAGGTTTGTCTGAGGGGGCTGCTGATACATACAAGCTCTTTCTCTGCCTTTTCAGAACCGGCTCCTAGAGCTGGATACCCTACCTTCTGCTGATGTCCCTTGCCACAGGCTTACTCCAGAATAGCATGTGCATTGCTCATTCAGCTTTTTCTCCAGTGTTCTGCAATGGATACACATTTCATGATATATTTTTCGCACCCATAATTTTTTTTTTTCCTGGCAACCCTTCTCTGATATATCTCTGCTGTCCCCATTGATGCACCAAAGCAGAGTGCCACCAACCTATTTATATCATAGTCTTGTCTAAACCATTCAGTGCTGAGAATGTTTCGATAAGTATATTTTTAGATCTACTTACATGGACCAGACATCCACCTTTGGACCATATTTCCTGTGAGCAAGGAGTTCTGGGGCAGCATAAGCTGGGCTTCCACACTGGGTATGTAACAACTCCTGAGAGAGACCCTCAAAATTTGCAGTATTGCTCAGTCCGAAATCTGATGGTCACAAAAACAAAGGTGAAGAAGCTTTAGTCTCTTCTCAAAATAGTTTAAATTTACGAATTGATTGAAGATGGGAGAAAGATTAAAACAGCAGCTGGCTTTAGCATCTGGTGACATCTGAGCTGTGGATGCCAATTTGGATTCGAGTAAATGCGTCATGAATTAGAAGGGGTAACAGTGAAATTACCCAGCCATGGGGCTGTACTCCTGGTTTGGTTGATTTTGGTTTAGCTATTTTAGCTTGCTTCAGTTGACTGTATGCTAAGTACGAGAGCTTAGCTACACAGCTGCACTAGCATGGCTTAATGAGCGACGGCATTCAGCTCAGCTGGGTGTGCTTTAGCCCGTTGTAAACGTGGGGTAAAATGTGCTAACTTAAGCCTTTTTCTCTGTATATGTGCATGTGTGCAAGGGGGAGGGAAGAGAAAGGTGTGATTGTAAAGGACTGGCTGGCTATAAAAAAGGGGTGAAGAGTTGGTGCCTTTTTTCTCAGAGGTGTTAAGCTTTTAAAAGTTTGGGAAACACTGGGTTAAACATGTGGAGTCTCTAAGAGTGAGGTTCCCTTGTGGGGATTTTTCTGTGCGGTTTCCATAGAATAAAATTAATGTTTCTCTGAGCTGTGTTAACTGCTTGGTGCAAATTCCCTCATTTTTATAAATGTTTGCTTCACAACCCTAGCAAGGTTTCTGTTAGTGACCAAAAAAGTCTTTTTTTTTTTTTTACATATACCAAATGATGAGGTTTCTGGTTGGAGTAATGACTCGACAGAAGCTAATGTGTCCATACCTGCGTTTCACCCCAGAAGATTTATTTCTTTGTCTACAAATCACTTCTGCTAGGAACAGCTTTCTACACATAAAAGCTGTAATTGTTTCTTGCTTCTCCAGCAATACACAAGGGAAAACAATAGGCAAAATTATTTTCCTTGTTCTCTTAAAAATATGTTTTAGTTAAAACTCAAATAAACAAGCTGTTAAGTTAAACTTCATAGCTTTTATTTATTCTAAAAGCTCGAATATGTTTAGTGAATAATCACAAGCTCACTCATAAAATGTGCTGTTTAAATAGTAGCTGAACTGTCACTGAAAGCGACACAAAATAAAAAGCTAAAAACCAGCTTCACAGATAATGTGCACCTACCAACGATTTTGATGTTGTTGTTCTCATCAAGAAGAAAATTTTCAATTTTTAGGTCCCTGAAATGAAGACAGAAAGCAAACTTTGAGATGCCTGATGTCCCAGCTAACTAGTTGCAGATAGTTTTTACCAAAGTTTAATTGAAATAATAACAATAGTTCTGCACAGCTCTGCCTACAATTGTAACAAGATCCTTATTCCTTCCTGAAGTTTTCAGTTGGGAAAATGGAAACTTTCTGTATTTCAGGGAATATTTTATGAGTATATATTTTAAATAGACTATTTATTTTAGGAATAATCCGTTCTACTGATGTATTTTTTTAAAAAAAAGAACAGCATTTATTTCCTCTTTTGAGTAAAAGAGAAAGTTGCACGTACTTGGACCCAGAGTGTTTTTGTCTTTGTTTGAAGTACTGAGCACTGTTGAGTATTTCTGCTTTCTTGGTGAGTAAATTGTGCCTGAGGATCAGAAGGGAACTGGAAAGAAAGATCTTTCGGCGGAGGGGAGGTATACCAAAGCTGGGTCGGGGACAGATACCCTGGAGGTGGAGACATCTCCGCAGTGATGTTTATGTAAACAGGGTCAACCAGTATCAGACGCCCCCGCAGGGGGATGTAATTCAGAGCTGCAGGAAAAATGCTGTTAGCTGGCTCAGGCACTTACTTGCTTATTGTGGGAACATGTATATCCTTACAAATTCAAACCAAAAGCCAGAATATTGCTCCACTGTGGGGAGCGCCTGAAGTGGCAGCTGAAATCTTTCGCAGTGCAGGGGAAATCCTCAGCCAGTGTAATTTGGGTGTTGGGAGGGGATCCAGGAGCCTGCGATGCTTTGCTGACTCCCATCACGGCCTCCCGCATGCCGCTGAGGGCTTCTCTTGGCTCTGCGGGGGTTGTGGGGGGACAGAGCAAGTTTCAGAAGTGGCTCCAGGTACACGGATTTCCCTCCCTCCCGCTCTGAAGTTGTGAAGCACTTCTAACAGCCCAAAGACCTCGGACAGTACAGGAGGACAAACTAGAAGGAGGGATGGGAACAAGGACAGGAGCAAGGAGCAAGGAGCAAGGGCTGGGAGGACCGGTGCTGCACAAACAGCACTGCACTGCTGCAGGGGATTAAGTCCGGAGGTGTACCAGGTGGTCCCGATGGGTGGTTTTATGGGGGTGTCCTTTTATCTCCGTGGTTCTGGATGGCACAGCATTGCACTCGAAACCCTCTGCCGCCCCAGGCTGAGAATGGGATGGAGATGGTTTTAATGGTAACTTTTTAATCGGTTTTAATTTGAATAGCGTGTTTTCTAGAGTGGCAAATAAGCCCAAAAGCTGGGAGGTAGATTTAAGATAACTTTGTTCATAGCCTATCCGTGACATAACCCTGTGCACTAAAACTGTGTGGTTTAAAACTAGTTGTGTTTCAGGCCACTGCAAATCTCACATTTCTATTGGATTTAGCATCACAGTGCACTCTGATGACTTCTACTACACTACAATTAAATAATGTTACATTGGATTGCCACAACCGCTGTTCTATAGGCTGAGCTGAGTGCTCACACAGTGAATAAAAATGTATGCTTTCTTGCCTGAAAAACCTGATTATGGTCACTATTAAAGTTTACATAGTGTCAGAAGTTATCTTGCGTCAAAGATACATCTTGTTCTTTTTTTCCGAAGGAAACTTTCCTAGAAATGTTGTAAGTTTAAGCAACATCATGAATTTTTTCTCATTCCCATGGGGACTTCAGAGAGAGTGCCTAGAGGGCAGCCTGTGATGCTTCTCCAGGTCTTTGGTCCAGTAGTGATTCAAAAGAATATATGACATTTTTATACAGGAGAAGGGAAAATATCCAGGAAAAATTTGGAACTGTACATACAAGAAAGTTACTGTCACTTAGCAAGCGCCAGCTTTAGGAGTTGGTAGCTGACTGTGTGCATGCGCTAGCCCAATCCAATTGCGAGGTAATGTGATTTAGCTTATATGTCTTTATTTGAGGTTTTTAAGCTCAGATGCATTACCTCACTACTTGGCCATGTCTAGAACAGGCACAGGGATAGTTAGCAGGGCTCGACTGATGACTGTTAGCTTGTGAAGCTGTTGAACCTGATCTTGTGCCTGAGCCTTCTTATATCTGGCACAGTAAAATGCTGTGTGATGGATAAATAGGCAAGTGAGTCAACGCTCCATCTTCTTGATCATTTTGGCAACTGTGGCATCACAATCAACTGTGATCTTGCGTGGACAAGAAAGGTACCACCTTTACTGTGAGAAGTAGACTCAACCTTAATTTAAGCCATAAGGATTTGTTGGATCAGTGCTGATTTTAGTGCTGAATAGGAAAAGTAAAGCTCAGGAAACAAAATAGCTGTCAAAACATAGCACAGGATTTCTGATGAGCAATATTAATTTGGACTAAAAATAATTACAAAACTGGCCAGTTTTTCATCAAGTATATGATTAAGACAATAGAAAATACTGTTTTTCAAAGGT